GAAGCCGCGATTATTTTAATCGCGGCTTCATTTCCCTCTGCCGATCTGGCTAATCTACATGCCTCCGTCGACGGAGGCATGTAGTCTAGACACACCCATGGTGAACAATACATTTGCCTCCTTACATATCAATAAAAAAAAGATTAAGGAAAACGTTGCATGTCAATTAAGACCTCCATATTTCCTACCTCTACCCAATCCCTTACCTGTAGGGCAGTCCCACAATCTTCATTCCATCTCTAGACTACTTTCTTTTCTGAAAGGAGATATGCAAATTTGGCACTACAGGCAGTCCCCGGGTTACGTACAAGATAGGGACTGTAGGTTTGTTCTTAAGTTGAATTTGTATGTAAGTCGGAACTGGTACATATTGTAGGGGAAACTCTAGCCAAACATTTCTCCAGAGCTCAGTTTTATTCTCCCACACCTCACTTCCCTCAGTCCTTTATTCTCAAGCTGAGGTGTCTGCTGAGAAAAGCCGCTCCGCGTCTCCCTGGTCTGGGGGGGGAGGATGCTAGCTTCGTGTCTCCCTGGTCTGCTGGGGGGAAGCAGCTAGTGCGGGGTTGCCTCACCCCGTTTGTAAGTAGGGATCCGATGTAAGTCGGATCCATGTAACCCGGGGACTGCCTGGCTGGGATGGGGAAAGGCTTCTGAGTGGGGGCACCATGAGGGTGGCACCATTGCACGAGGAGCATGGGGTCACTGTAGTGAGGTGTTGGGGGGATTAAACAAGGGAAGGGGGGTGCCATGTGCTGGAGCGGGGTTGCCTCACCCCGTTTGTAAGTAGGGATCCGATGTAAGTCGGATCCATGTAACCCGGGGACTGCCTGGCTGGGATGGGGAAAGGCTTCTGAGTGGGGGCACCATGAGGGTGGCACCATTGCACGAGGAGCATGGGGTCACTGTAGTGAGGTGTTGGGGGGATTAAACAAGGGAAGGGGGGTGCCATGTGCTGGAGATTCGTTGCAGCAAAGGCCCCTGTGTGTGTGGGTGCAATGCACTAATGAGTGTGGTGGGGCCTGGGAACCAGGACTCACTTCTGGGATCTGGGGGGGCCTTCCCCCAACTTGCTTGTTCAGACCCAGTCTTGTTCTCCTCCTAGCCCTGCCATCCATCTCGTCTTCCCCTCTTGTGGTGACCAGCTCGGGCTCGCAGCAAACTCAGGCAGGGTCATATTTAGCAGGTTCCCTGAGCGATTGTACCAGCCTTGGGGGGAGGGGTTTAGAGGAGTATTCTGACTGTACTGCAAACGATGACCCTGCCAGACTCCCTCACCCCCAGCTTGCTGAGCTGTAAAAACCTGGCTTCTCCCAACCCCATGTGCCCTTTCCTCTTCCTGGGCTTTTATTACCAGTGAAATTCAGTGACTCTAAACACGGGCCTGCCGGGTTAGCTGGTAGCCGCTGTGGCTCCACTGGGGAGGAGAGACGTCTGACACGGGGTATGTCTAGACTGTCGGCAGAGGCACGTAGTCTAGACATACCCTGGCTGAGGGGAGTGCAAGTGATGCGCTCAGGAGGAGGATCGCGTGGGGTTGGGGCTCGGGCACCAGCAGAGCTGGCAGGGGCATCCCCAGGCCATTCTAGTCTGAATTTGGGTAAGTGGAGGCAAGTGAGGCCAGCCAGGTGAGTGCCCGATGGGAGCCCTGGGCAGTGATGGCCAGAAATACCCTGATTTAGCTCCAGGGGATGTGAAATGGGGAGCCCTGCAGGGGCAAGGAAGGCATCCCCACTGGTTCTGCTGTGCCCTGCTGGGGGCAGTCTGGACCAGATGGGACCCTGAGAGCCAGGCTGTGCCCCTTCCCCCACGGAGCGGGATCAGACAGGTGGTAAGCATGGGCCTGAGGAGGGCTGCCAGGTCATCTCCCTAGAATTTGAAGGGGAGGGAGGAGAAATAACTACCCCTGTGGACTCCTGCTTTGACCCAGACCCAGGACTGCAGCCCACAGAGATGGGGAGGCGATGGGGTGGCTGGTCCCCTGCAGAGCTCCACTGCCTCTGTGCCCCTCTTTGCTCCCCTGCCCCTCCCACACTCAGCCCCCAGGCATGGACCCCATTTCTCTCTGTTTCCCGGCTTGCACGGCAAGAGGAGGAAATGCGCACTGCAGCCAGGGCACCGCTAGGCGCTGAGCAGAGGAGACAGGCAGGCGTGAGAGGTGCCAGCAGGCTGGGGATGAGGCCCTGGGCAGCGATTCCTCCCCAGCTTTAATTAGGAGTGAAACCCAATGATTCTAAATACAGTCAGGCCTGCTGGGTTAGCTGGTAGTCGCTGTGGCTCCACTGGGGAGGAGAGACGTCCATCATGTCTGACACTGGCTGAGGGGAATGCGAGTGATGCCGGCTCAGGAGGGGCATAGTGTGGGGTTGGGGCTCAGGGGCACTGGCAGAGCTTGCAGGGGCATCCCCAGGCCTTTTTGGTCTGAATTCGGGAAAGTGGAGGCAGGTGGGGCCAGGCAGGTGGGTGCCTGTGACAGGGCGCTCGCCCTGCACTGGCCCTTTAAGGGCAGACCCCGACCTGAACCAGGGCCGGGGAGTTTAGCCCAGCTGAGGCTGTACTAGTCCATCAGGGCCCAGCTGGGAGCTATAATAGAGGATGGGCTGCTGCTGCGAGGAGGGAGCAGTGAGAACCTGGCTGCTGAGGGAGGAGGAGGCTCCCTGGAGCTAGGGCAGGGCTGGGGGAGGCCAGGCCGGGCTAGGGGAGCTCTGGCCAGCAAATCCTCAGACTGCAGGGCTTGAAAGAAGGCCTGATGAAGGAACATCGACCCCCGGAAGGGGGGCTCAGAGGCAGACTTGGGCACTGCCGGAGGGCAGTGTGGCGAAGAGGACGCCGCAGCCGGGAGTAAAGAGGGGAGACACCACCCCAGAGAAGGCACCCTACCCGCCGAGGGACCCAATTCCTGAGGACAGATGGCAGGGGGGTTATGGTGGTGAGTGCACCCCCCCCTCACAGTGCCCAATGGGAGCCCTGGGCTCTGATGGCCAGAAATACCCTGATTTAGCTCCAGGGGCCCTGTTGTGCCATGTACCAGGCTCACCTGGCCAGTTAGCTCCCCTCTGTGCCCAGTGGTGGCTGTACCTGGAATGCCCATCTGAATATAGGGCTGTAGTCCCTTCTCTGGAAGCAGGACTCCTGGGTTCTTTCCCCAGCTCAGGGGGCAGGGAGGGGGCTGGAGGCTGATTACTGAGCGGGCTGGGAGTCAGGACTCCAGGATTCTGGCCCTGGAAAGGGAAAGGCCTAGTGGTTATATCTGGTCTCACTCCAAATGGGGCTGTCCTGCCTGCCTGGGGGCAAGACAGAGGACAATGAATTAAGAGGATGGGGTGGCAAAGTAAAGAAAGGAAAGAAGCTGATAAAACTGCAGCAACAGGGTTGGGCGATTACCTCTTGGGTCGGGGCGGAGGGTGGCCCCCACTACAGCTTCCAGCTGCTTCTTCAGTCGTACAAAGCTTTTGAGGTTGTGCTCAGCCCAGAAGGCCCTGAATAATTCAGGTTTCCATGTTGTTAAGTAGCTTTTGCTTTGAACAATGCATGTGGGACTGTGTGTTTGTCCAGCAGGGGGTGATGTGGGAGTGAAGGGCACTGGGGGTATTCCGCACTGCCAGTGAAGCTGTAAGTGTGGCATGGGCTTTTGTGCCGAGCTAGCACTGGATTCTATCCAGATGCTGCAAAGTCAAACAACTGGAGTCGTTTTGGAACAGGGATGACACTAAACTGGACTACGTTGGCTAAGTTGGTTTAAAAGCATGTTTGGCTTTGCTGTAGGAAAAGGGGGTGTTTGAGCCTCAGGATGGTTCCTCACTGTCTAATTCCAGAAGAAGAGGGGTAGGTAGATTTCTTTGCAGTGTAGCGTCCCCACGAGTGGCTTGCTCAGCTGGGAATAACAGCCCTCTGCCAAAGTGTGTGCGTGGGGGGGCAAGGTGGATGGGCTGCTAGAGGGACAGACAGACAGATGGAGGGGTGGGTGGGTGGATGGATGAGGGAATATGTGAATGAGTGGATGGATGGATGGATAGATGGGTGGATGCAGTGGTAGACAGATGGCTGGAGAGAGAGATGTGTGAATGGGGGGGTGGGGTTGGGTGGGTGGATGGATGGATGAGCGGGTGTGTGGATGGGTGGACAAATGGAGGTATGGATGGTGTGGCTGGCTGATTGCCAGATGGATGCAGGGCTATATGGGTGGATGGATGGTAGCCAGATGGATGGCTATTGTGTATGGTGAGGGAGGAATGCAGGTGAGGGGATGGA